TCATTCCAAAGGGTCGGGGCTACTGCTGAGAAGGCCCTCCTCCTTGTGGTTGCCAGCCGACACTGGCTGGCCGATGGAATGCGGAGGAGGCCTAATCTATGGGATCTTATAGGTCGTAGGGAGGTAATTGGCAGAAGGCGGTCTCTTTTTGCACACAATGCACAGAATGACAAACAAGCCAGCCATATTTTAGCCTAGCTACCCTAGTACATTGAAAGATGACATGTTTACTTTATTGTTCAATGTTTGGTGTGAATCTAGGCAACTGGGATGAATAAACCATCCATTCACCATGGATAAACATCTCACAAACATATGTCTGTACAACATGATAACTACATAACCCAACATGATAAAGTTAAGGTTAATGAAGATTTTAAAAATAATTTTGTTAGATGTGCCACATTGAGAAGATGGAGTAGATATAAATTCAGGGTGTGTCCAAATATACCATTCAGTCTCACCACAATAATCATATTATACAAGAAAAATAAATAGAAATGGTTAGCTTATGGTGACATAGCAGGATTTCCTAAGGCTTTTTTAAAACAAAATCAAGAGACTTGACTTGAGAAAGACTTAAATGTCACTGGTTTTCTTATATACATTTATCAGAAAGATTTAAAGTAAAAAGACTGGGTTTTGAATATTGTAAAAATGAAATAATTATATACAAATAATAAACATGTTACAGCTGATATGCATTGCTTTTATTAAAATTTGAAATGGAGGAACAACAAGCAAAAGAATGTATAATAAAATAGGCTAAATTTTGGAATGATAGGAGAATACATGCATGAAATTCACATTGTTATAATCTTAAATCTTTACGAAATGATGTATCAATGATATTGTTCACCAGAAAAAACTGTTTAAAATGTATAAACATATATATGTTGTAAAAGACAACAGGAGCGGACTTTTTATCATGATGGTGGACATGCAGAAAAGCTAAAAATGGATTCAAATATATTAATTTAGAAGATTTTAAAGCTTTATATACAAGTGAAGCCAGAGATGTTTCTTTCAGAATTTACTGATAAAAAGCTGGGGGAGGGGGGAAATGACCCTAATGCAGTGATGGGCAACCTTTTTGGCGTGGTGTGTCAAAAATTGGCAAAAAATCGAGCATAACTCGCGTTGTGTGT